TTAGAAGACTACCTCTTGGCTGGCTCTCCCCCCCTTGTTTGGAGATTGGGTTAAATGCCCCAAATTTGTTGTCACTGAGCCAGGTTGCGGGGGGGGGGTCCCCATCCCCAGAGCTGTGTGCCCCTCAGTGCAGAGAGGAAGACTTCACTACAGNTGGTTGCCGGGGGGGGGTCCCCATCCCCAGGGCTGTGTGCCCCTCAGTGCAGAGAGGAAGACTTCACTACAGTGAACCAACCTCAGGGCCACTCATCCAGTGTCACCTGGTTCTCACTAGTAGAGGTTTCAACTGTTTTTTTTATCAGAAATGGAAAAAATACCTGTTGCATTAACGTTCTGCTGATATGAGGGTTTTAGGGCAAATGCTGAGGATTGTGTTGATTCGTACTTAAGGTTTTTGGAGGTGAGCTTTGCCATGTATCTCATGCCAGAATTTTCTTTTCTTGTTCTTTGACTTTTTCAAATACGTATTTCATTAGAATATGTGTCTTTCTTTACCCGGTTGCCTAAGTGAATTTTGTGGGGGTTTTTTCTTCTCACTTTGTGGAATGTTAGGAAAGAGAGATCCTGTGGCTGTTTCAATATGCCACGGGAATCTGATATATGTGTGGTTTTCCCCCCTCATCTATTTGTTGTTGATACCAAGCTTTGAGAATAACAGATTTCGCCTGGCCGGGCGTGGCTCAGCGGTTGAGTGTCGACCTAGGATCCAGGCGATCGGGCTTCGATTCCCGGTCAGGGCACAGGCCCGGGTTGTGGGCTCGATCCCCAATCGGGGGCGTGCAGGAGGCAGCTGATCAATGAGTCTCTCTCATCATTGATGTTTCTCTCTCTCTCCCTCTCCCTTCCTCTCTCTGAAACCAATAAAGATATATTAAAAAAAAAAAAAAAGGAACAGATTTCAGTGGTTGCTTGGAAACCTCAGAACCATGACCTTGGGGAGGAACAGGGTCGTTAGGTGGGAAAGCATCATTTTGGGTGGGGCTACAAGCACTTTTATATTTATTAGAGTTGTCCACAGTCACGCTCCCTTCTCTCGTCGACAGAGCTGGTGGAGGGACAGACCGGGGTGTGGGCCAGAACAGCTAAATTCTGTCCTGGGGTTAGTGTAACAAGACCTTTAGCTCCTCAACACACCCAGAAAAACACTGTGGTTTCCTTCTGCGGCCCAGTCAGTCCTGTTGACCTTCGGAGAGAAACAGCACCTCTGGGCCCCTCACCCGCTTCACATACACATTCCCTCTGGTTGGTGTCTGTGGAGGGGGTGACGGCCACCAACAAGTTTTCTTCCTGTGATCTGAGGACCACATGGTACGTTATCAGGAAACATGCCGCCCTGACCACCAGTAGGTTAAAGTGAAGGGAAGCCGGGCTGTTACGTGATAAACATCCATTACAAAGCGACAAATGAGACCTAAAGAGCAATATATGGGTAGAGCGATGGGGCCTCTTCCTAGGCCAGTATCAACGGTCACAGATTTTTTTTTAAATGTGTTTTTATTGATTTTAGAGAGGAAAGGAGAGGGAGAGAGAGAAACATCAATGAGAGAGCTGCGTCCCGCAGGCGCCCTGCTGGGCATCGAGCCCACAACCCGGGCCTGTGCTCTGACCGGGAATCGAACTGGGACCTCCTGGTTCATGGGTCGACGCTCAACCACTGAGCCACACCAGCTGGGCAATGGTCACAGGTTTTTTTTTAAAAAAGAATTATTAATAAGTACAATCTGTGGGGTAGTTCATGGGTAGCTTATGCTTCCGTTGCTGGAGTCTAGCAGGAGACCTTGATGTCAGGGGTCGGGTGGGAGGTGTGGGGAGCCTCCCCCTCCCCTGCCCCTGCCCCACCGGCCACCATCAGCCATGACCGGGACTCCTGGGGGAGCCTGGGGCTGATGCCCTTCCCTTTGTCCCTCCCAGTCTGGTCTTCCCCTGTGGACTGGAGAAGGCTTCATTTGTCCTTTGGACAAAGGCTCTTGAGGGCCCAGCTCTGCCCACCCTCCAGTGCTCTCCCCACCCGCCCTGCACCCAGGGCTCAGGCCCTACCACCTTCCCTCGGCCCCTGGAAGCTCCAGGCTACGTCTGACCCATTTCACCTCCTGCTCTCGCTGTGGGACACAAGGGCCCTCGCCCGGCTGACCCGTCCTCTGCCTGGAGCCTGGGTGGCCCTGTCCCGTCCTCTGCCTGGAGCCTGGGTGACCCGTCCAGCCAGCCTTCTTTCTTCTCAGAGGACGAGGGAAGCCCTGTGAGGTCTGGCTCTGGGGTCAGCACCCTGCCTGTTCTGTGCTGCTGGGGAAGGGCCCGTTCTTACTTGCTCGGCTGTGTCCCCACTGTCTGGGCCTCAGTAGATGTTCAGTGAAGATGTGCTGAAGGAGGGAAAGGAACAGAGTGAGAGGGGAGCTGTGAATGTGTCCCACACGCCCTGGGTGGCCTCGTGGGCTTTGACGTAGGAACGAGCCAGGGCGAGCAGAGCTCATCCCTAGCTGACGATGACCGGCAACAGCGATCGATGGCTTTGCCATGAAGTGGAGGTTTCGTACTGAGTTCACAGCCCATATATCGAGAAGGCGTATCTTCGAGGAAATGTGTTTTGTTTCTGTATGAAAATGTTTGCTCAAAAGCTAATCACAAGAAGCCAAAGCTAGACTCGGGTTTTAGCTTTCACAGGAAGCGAGCTTCCTGCAAACCGCGAGCTCAGATCACGGGTGTCCGTGGGCCACGGGGGCTTGCGGCCCGTCCTAGGCAGCAACTCCCGGGGCCTCTCTGGGTCAGTCAGTTTATTATTGTTGTTGTTAATAGTCACCCCAGGATATTTTTTCCATTGATTTTTTAGAGCGAGTGGAAGGGAAGGGGGGGGGAGAGAAACATCACCGTGAGAGAGACACATGAACTGGCTGCCTCCTACATGCCCTGACCAGGGCGGGGGATTGAACTTGTAGCCCAGGTACGTGCCCTTGGCTGGGAATCGAACCTGAGCCCTTCGGTGCTCAGGCTGACGCTCTAACCGCCGAGCAGCGCCGGCCAGGCCTCAGTCCTTTTTGAAAGAACAGGTGGACATCACAGCCTCCCCCGTGGCTCGGTTTGCCGCCCGCTTCCCCCACCTCTGTGGGGTAGGGCCCGGGG